TTTTTGGGTTTATTTTTTTAATTTTCACAATATTATGGCAGATATATTCAACTTATCTTTTTAGATAATTTTAATTTTTTAGTCATATAAATTATTTTTTTTATTTTTATTTTTTTTTAAGTATTATTCATTTTTATTATAATACTGGTTTTTGGGTAATACTACTTCATTTTTTGAGAGTAAGGTAAAGTGAGGATAAACACAGAATAGAAAGATTGTATTGCACCACTGTTCCAAATTAACTGTGTTGCATACATTTAGGATGTGGGTGATGATGGCTCTACACAACTTCCTATCCTTTGTAGCTTTTAGTAAAGGTTGGCTTTTTGCTATCTCTCCTAATACCTATTCTACCATCCATTTATACAAGCTTGTTAGGTAGGTTGATTACTGCTCTCCACAACATCCTATCCTTTGTAGCTCTTAGTAAGGTTTGGCTTTTTGCTATCTTTATTAACTGTCAAATTTAACTAAGATAATAATGTCTATTTTCTTATGCCATGTCTACAATACAAGAATTATTACAAGGCTGTACTTATCCTTAAAAATGCGGGGATGGATTTTTATCAGATTTGCTTGTTTTCTAATTAACCTCTTAAAAATTCCAAAGACAGTTGGCATTTTTTTTTAGTTTGATTCTTTTTATTTAATGAAGCCAATTTCAAAGAACTCATTGTCACCGTCCATCTGCAGACTGATAACTTGATAGATAAACACAACTCTTATATCAAAACAAGTTTTGTCCTCTAATTTTTAATTTACTGGTTCTTTTATTTTGTATATATTTTGCTGAAAAGCTGTTAAGGAAAAACTGTTTAAATTTTGGGCTTTCAGTGTCATTTGGTACAAGAGAGGCTTTGTGGCAGGGTCAAATAAGAAAGGTCAGACTAGTAAACGATTCATTATCTGAAAGGCCCATTGTAGGACCGCCTAAGAAGTTTGAACTGCACTATGTTCAGCTAGTATATATCTGAAATGTAAAAAAAATAAAGAAAGAAATAAGCATAGCTCTATCTCTGATTAAATTGTATCTAAGTTGTTTTTATTATTAATTTTTGCCTATTTTATCTGTCATCTTGTTTTATATTGTAACGCTCAAGGCGCTTTACATCTGATGACTGATTATTTTGAAATAAGCAGCATAGAACTGTCTTTTAATCATTTCATCTCAAGTAAAGCAATAAAGTCACTAAGACGCACGGAGTTAGAGAAAAATACAACATAATAAATAATAACAGGAATTAAGATGGAAGCTAACAATTGATATTGCATCTAATTTTTTAAGATCAAAGTTGGCTGGAAAGCAAGCAGCCAAAAGAGTTCCACAAGCAAGAAATGCGAGAGAAGAAACTGTTAGCATAGAACTTATGATCATCTGAAATAAGTTGCCATTGACAAGATTTGAACTTGCCAGCTTTATCCTTTAGAGCTAAGAAAAAGTGTGATTTAGATCAAGGAGGTGCAGTACAAATGAAGAAAAAAAAAATATATATATATATATATATTGATATCAATGCAAGACTTCAGTGGAAAATGCTTCATTACAGTCAATTGCAAAAAACACATTTACAAAACGTTGCTTGGAATTTGCACACATTTTAAATTATTTCTTTGTTAATTTGCTATATTTTTAGCTTTTTATTTTTTAAATAAATGTTTACTTTTTAATTTCTTTTCTGTTTGACTCTGTAAAAAAGATATCCATATATACTTGATAACAAGGTACTTTGCACATTAAATTGAACATTACTCCAAAAAGGATGTTCAAGATAAGGGTACTGAAAAAAAAATGTAGCAAAATTGTCTTATAGCAAAAATCCTATACGGTAAAAATTCCTGAGGCAAGTTTTCCTATGGCAAAAATGTTTACAGTGAATGTTCCGGATACACTAAATAAGATATAAATATCCCTGGAAAAAATGAATATTTTAGTATTTTCTATAGTTTTGAGAAGTTTTATTAACATTCAAATAGTTCTTTAGATGAAATAATTTTTTTTTTTTGCACATATCAGATAAGGGAAGAAAAGCAAAAAGATATTTACTGAATTTTTATCAGTTGCTTGTAGTGTGTGTGTGTATATATATATATATATATATATATATATATATAAAATTTTATAATTATGACGAAAAATCTTTATTTTTATCAACATTTGCAGCACTAACCCGAGAACTAAATTATATAGTTTTCAATGGTCAAATTTGGTTTCATTTGTTCTTTAATACAGTAGTAGCAGTGCATAATTCAACATTATCATTAAAACAAAAAAGGTCAGGTGTTTAATTATATATAAAAACTAAAAGATAACATACACTTCATACACACATCCCCTTCCCAGCAACTGTCAAAATGACCAAGGAAACTCAGGAATCTCCCAGCTTCTATGTTAAAAACAACTTAAAAAAGACCATTTAACCAATACAAGGACTAACCAATTAATAATAAAAAAAAACAAAACAAATTAAAGCTACAGATAAAGTTCACTTTCTTCAGAAACAGTCATTCACTGCTACTAACAAGCAGGGAATTTTTTTTTCTTTCCTGAGGGCTATGCTGGCCGAAACTAGTCAAGGACCCTAACTGAATAAAACAAAAAAAATTTTATTGTTCAAAACATACACACAAACACACATTTCAAAACAATTGTTTGTTTTTTTTGGTGTTTTTTTTTTTTAATTTTCACAATATTATGGCAGATATATTTGACTTTTTTTTATTACTATTTTATCTTTTTAGATAGTGTTTTTTTTTTTTTTTTTTTTCTTCATTTTTTTTTTTTTTAGGTAGTGTTCCTTTTTATTATAATACAGTTTTTTGGGGGATAATACTTTGAGAGTAAGGTCAAATGAGGATAAACACAAAGTAGAGAGATTATATTGCACCACAGCTCTAATTTTAACTATAGTTGCATACATTCAAGGATGTGGGTGATAATGGTTCTCCACAACTTCCTAGCCTTTCTAACTCTTAGTAATGTTTGGCTTTTTGCTATCCTTCCCAATACCTGTTCTACTATTCATTTATACAAGCTTGTTAAGTAGGTTGATCACGGCTTTCCACAATTTCCTTGGCTCTTAGTAAAATTTGGCAATTTGCTATCCCTCCCAACCCATGTTTTACCTTTCATTTATACAAGCTTGTTAGGTAAGTTATTTGCTACTTTCCATGAATGCTTATAAAAGATGATAGCTTTTAAAATTCTTGAAATTATTTTATTTCTATCTGGACTTTTGGTAAAATTCTAAAGTAATTATTTCCAGATTTTTGAAAATTAGTTCATGACTATTTTTTCATCTAAATATATTTTCACCTTCCCAAATCTCTTCTGATTTTGTCAACCTCTTTCTTTTCTATAAACATCATCCCCTCACACTCTTTAATGCTCATCCCAGAAATTTTATTTATGACTCACCCAGATGCTGTGGCATTTCTTAATCTGTAGCCACCTCTGAAACATAAATATGTACAAAATAATACTTATTCTTATACAGTTTATGTACATCTTTGGAAAAGACTTGATAAGTTTATTTAGAAAATACTTTGAAATGGAACATCAAAAAGGTTTCACCTACAGATACTTTCACTCAACACTGCAGAATGTTATGAAACCAAAACATCAGCCTGAAAACTCAAAGTCATGTTCCTAAATAGACTTGTCAGATCAAGACTTCTATATGAATATTATACATGTCACCAAATCCATTTAGAAATATCTAAACTGTCAGCTATATACAACATCTTTCTAAGATCCATGATTAAAAATGGCTTCAAGCAAGGAAGCCTGTGAATCTTGGTGAAGACCGTCTTTCTTTGAACATTGTGGACTGGTGCTACAGAATTACAAAGAAAAACTGTACCAAATAACTAAAACAACCACCCAATAAATGTAAGCAAGTTTTTGAAGGAGCTAAGTCCCTATTTGCTAAGGGAATGTGGACCTGCTGGTATCCCTGTAATAGTCATTAAAAAGTGTGCTCTCGAACTGACTCCTGTTCTCTCTAAGCTGTATAATAAATGCCACGATGCTTACCTGCTTGCTGAAAATTGTCTGTTGTTCCAGTTTTTAAGAAGTTTGGTCAACAGTTCGACCCTTCCAATTTCCTTCACAGAGATTGGTCAGAAATAAATTTGCGAGCATATGTGAAATTAATTTTGGACCAATAAAAACCTTGTCTTCACAGAATTTAGACATTCAGATGACTTAATTTGCTGTATGAACATTTTCTCTTCATGTTAAAACTATGGACTTTAAAAATTTCTAATTTATTTTCCTCAAACAAGCAAGACAGATCTTCAAGCGTGTAAATTCATAAATAAATTCATCTTGTTTTGTTAAAATTACCCATATGTTTCATCATTATCATCCTCCATTAATCTTTTTGGCATGGATAAATCAACTGTTCATTTTAACTTCAAAGCCTCATGTCAATATAGTTCCATCCAACACTGAAAAATGTTACAGAACCAAAACATCAACCTGAAAACTCAAGTCATGTTCCTAAATATCCATATGGAAGACTTGATCTGACAAGACTGTCATGCATGGTGCCAAACCCATTCAGAAATATCTAAACTGTCAGCTGTATACAACTTATTTCTAAGATCAATGATTAAAAATGGCTTCAATCAAAGAAAATGACTGAGCAAGCAAAGCCCAAAAGTCTTCACAAGGACCATCCTTCTTTGAACATTGTGAACTGGTGCTACAGAATCACAAAGAACTACCAAATAACAGGAACCACAATAATATCTGAGGACTTGTTTTTTATGGCTTATCAACTTTTTGGTGGTTATTTAAAGCCAGAAAATATTTTTAGATTATTGGGGGGATAATAAACCCATTAACTAATTAGATGAGGAGAGAGGAGGTAAATTCATACCTTTTCCAAAGGTATTTACACATAGGTGAATATAATGAACCTAACTGGAATTGGAACTTGACTCTCCAATTTCAAATTCCAAGCCATTATCCATTACACAAACCCAGACATCCAAGCTTACATTACCCAGTATTCCCAAGCAGTAACCCATCTAGGTACTGACCAGGCTCAACATTGCTTAACTTCAGTGATCCAAAAAGAACTGAAGTTTCAACGTGATATGGCCACAAATCTGCCTTCTTCAGGTACCTGTTGCTGTGCTCAGTAACTTTCTAAATGAGAGTCACCTGAAGAAGACTTGATGGTACAAAGTAAAAATCTTGCATTAATTTCAACTCTTCTTATTAATAACTGCATTGTTTCTTTCCAAACTGACATCTGACTGTTCAAAGATAATTTCAAAAGTAACTAGTAATGATTTCTCTTGAAAATGGACAAAATTTGGCATTGTGGTATTATCAAGTACCTGCAGAAAAAAGGTTTTAACTCTCAAAGACATTCATGCTGACATGGTTGCTACATTAGAGGATGACATCCCAGCTTCATCAACAGTGCAAAAGTGGGCAGCTGAATTGAGGAGGAGAAGGGAGAGTCTTAAAGATGACCCAAGGTCTGGACATCCTGCAACTGCCACCAGTGAGGAAAACATGGTGATGGATAACAGGTGATTGAATACAAGTTGAATAATCAATGCTATTAGTATATCCAGTGAGAGAGTTGAGAATATTCTGCTCAATGAACAAGTCACAGGGAACATTTCTGCTTGGTGGGTGCCACATCTTCTGGCACCCGAGGCAGATCTAGCAGGTTTCCATGAACGTTTCCTAATCCAAGATGAGTGTTGGGTTTGAACCAGAGACAATCCATGCAGTGGAAACACCCCTTTTCCTCTGCAGGTAATGTTATGGCCTCAGTTTTTGTGATGCAAAAAGTATTGTGTTTATTGTCTACTTTCAAAAGAGCCACAGCATCAATTTTTTGAGTACTATACCAATGAACTGAGACAGTTATGAAAGGCTATCAAGACCAAATGCACCCAGGAAAACTGACAAAAAGGATCTTGTTTCATCAGGATAATGTTCCAGTACACAAGTCCCTGGTTTCAATGACTGTGGCTTTGAACCCTGTTGATCACCCTCCCTATTCTCCCAAATTGACTATCATCTATTCCTCAAAATGAAAAAACATTTGGCAGGGAGTCAGTATTGCAGTGATGATGACATATCTGCTGTTGATGACTTTTTTGACCAACAGTTCTTTTATTATTATTTCTCCTCACTAGAGTCTTCTCATTATCTTCCACTACCAGTAACCCCTTTAGTGGCTTTATCACCTTGCTTGGGGCAAAATTAAAAAAAGACTCAAATGTGATGTATAGATACAGCTTACAAAAGAGGTTGGATGATGAACATTTGAATTTATGAAGTATTTCATCCATTACACAAAATGCTCCAATAAATGACTTGTGCTCCTCCTCAATAATGAAATTCATCCTTTTTTTTTTTTTTTTGAGAGCCATAAATGTTGTAAAGGACAATAGTGTGGTTATGCATACTCTCTGCCACCTTACTGGAATCATAAACTAACATTTAAAACTTTCTACATTCAGGCATCCAATCATTTCATAGTCAACTGCTCTTGTCAACCCATCAACATTGAAAACGTTGCAGAGATTTTTGAATAACTTATTAGCATTTACTCTGCAAAAGACTGTCTGAATACAACAGGAATTTTTTCCCTTCAAGTCAAATATTTTTGAAGGAGCACTTCATATACATTTATATCACAGACTGGCCCCATTACTGCATAACAAGAAACAGCAGTTACTATCATTTTTAGTGAAAGTGCTGCAATGAATAACATGACCAAGACACTTAAGCTGGTGATGGTAATGACACTTTATCCAAGAACTAAACTAGGTTTCCTCTCCTTACACAATTCCTCATACAACCAGCAGTTCTTCAGGTTCTTGTAGCTCTATCATTATCATCACCTTAATAGAGATCAGACTCTTCCCTAAATACAAAGAAAAAAAAACAGGAATGATAGTGGGGGAGGGGGTGATTCTCACAAATATCTTTTATCCCAACTCCTTCCAAAAAGAACCCAATAGATACAGAGAAGAAAGAAAAAATCTCATAAATCAACACTGGAAAAAAAAAAAAAAAAAAAAAAAGAGCATTTTTGACATGGAAGCGTCATTTGATGATGACATTTGCAATGCCTTGCTGTGTGATAAGAATTCAGACTAGAGTTTTTATGATTTAGAGGATGCCACTAATACCAATGACGACATTATTTTCCCTGAGGAAATATATAATCTAAAACAGGGAAACTGTTTTTGCTGAAGTTTCCTACAAAGACAACTATTTGCTATACAATAACATCAACCAGATCATTAGCCTCGCACAAAACCCAGATGATACAAATGACACTTATTTTAATGTAAAGTGGAAAAACTTCAAGACTTCAATTGTGTTTCTTCAAGTAGAGTACATTTAAAAAATTCTGCTTCAGTTGCCATCTTCTGAAAGGGGGATAACAGATGAAATGGCACACTACTATGAGTTCTCTGTTCACAAGATAAAATATTCCAATTCCTTGATATGAAAATTCAATTCTTTTAATTAAAAATGATTCTGTCAATTTCGTATTAAGAGTTTTTAACCTTATGTCATAGTTTGTTTTTTTTCAATTGATTTTTAAACTTTGTGAATGCAATTTACTATCAAATGTTTCTTTAGGTTTTTGCCAATTAATATTTAGATATTTTGAGAGACTTTTTTTTTGTAACAGTCTACACTACAACAACTTCAAGACTTCTTTGATTCATTCAATCTTTTGATTCAGTTACCTTGGAGTAGAAGGGGAGGATTCACTGCACTAGGGCTGGGAGATATGGTGGATTAAAGAAAAAAAAAGTAAAAGGAAATGCCTGCCAGCTGCTAACTTTAAAGATATTACTTTCTTATTTTTATATAACCTATTTCACAGCCAGCTGATCTTTCCATTTTTTTAACCAAATATATTAATAAAATTAACTTTTTCCTTATTCACTATGGCTCATTTTCCCTTATAACAGCAGCAAAACTTTATTTAGATGGTGACAGGCATGTTTGCTTGTTATAAAGAGGATGACTACTGATCACCCCAGCACAATATCTACAAGTTTTACTTTAGTTTTTTCAATGATTCTAACTTCCTGCTACTTATTTTAATGATCAATAGAACTGAAAATGCCCCAATAAAAACAATAAAAGAAAAACTAATCAAAAAATAAAATACTTAATTGCAGAATTGAAATAATTCTTGCAATTATGCCAGAGTATAAACAAACAATATGGCAGGAATATTTGGAGGAGAATATGATTATAGATTTTGATTTTATGTCAGATCACTCTGCAAGTGCTAAGGTACCATGTAATTCAGTCCTACCTGTCACATGGTCAGGTTACTCTCACAAGTTTTTTTTTTTTGGTAGTGAGATACCTTGAAAGATTAAAGACAAAAGCTGTCAAAAGGGTACATGAACCTTCTTGTAGGATCAATTGTCATCTAGCACAATGGAGTAGACTGGGCTCTATAACTATGGATGCAGCTAGTGCAATGATGATGGCATTGCTGAGCAGAGGGCTTCCTAGACTGATCTCAACAGCCAAAGTGGAGAGTTCTCCTGATGCAATCAACGGCTACATGCACATAACCAAAGAAAGCCTACAAGTTGTAGAATATGACATTGGCTGTGGTTTGACAGAAAGAGGGATGGGCTCCTCCAGGTTTACTTCCCCAAAACACACACTGCATGAATAAATTGCTGGATTTCAATTCAGATACATGGAGGGAACTAGTCAGCTGTTCAGCGACCCACTACAGCCACACTCACCAGATGATAATTGGAGATTTTTATCCTTCGACCTATTAGCTTCTGTGACTGAACTGTTTAAAGTAGTGTCCATGAAAGATGAGCTCCCAAGATACAGAATTTTAGTTCATGTTTTGTCAGAAGACATTTCCTTATCTTGACTTCATAATAATCAACTTTGAATGTTGTGAAATAAGTAACAATACAATGAAGAAAATTAGTCAAAAATTAACACTGGACTATTGTCCTCATCTTTGTCACCATATTTATTACAACATTTCGGCCGTTGTATGCTCTGGCTTTCTTCAGATGGTTGGAATGTTGAACTGAACCCTTTATTTTGCTCGCTGGGGTAGACTGTTTTAGTTCCACATGCCAAAGGAATTAACAGGAGCTAACTGATAACTGACATCAATTAGACATGGCACGTGGAACTAGAACAGTCTACCCCAGTGAGTGAAATAAAGGGTTCAGTTCAACATTCCAAACACCTGAAAAAGGCCGGAGTGCACAACGGCCGAAACCTTGTAATAAATATGGCAACAAAGATGAGGACAATAGTCCAAATAATGTAAATTTGGTACATAATACCTCATCTCAGAAACATAGACAATTAACACTTCATTGATATTTCTGCATCATATAAGAAAGTCAAATTCATGTTGGTATAACTTCTGCCCAATCTTAGAGATTCTTGTTATATTTCATATTTTCTGATGCAATTTAGTAAACTAGAATATGCTGGCATATGTTGAAATCCTCACAGTATCATTGAAGTTATTGCTAACATTTTTGGTCAAGATTTACAAACTCTACTCTCCCTACTGTGTTTATATTTAGTGCTACTACAGTGCATTATATTTTACCAAAATTATATAACTTAAAAAGATATGCAAAAAAAAAAAAAAAAAAAAAAATTGCATTTTTATTAAAAAGTATTTATTTTAATCATTAAAGTGTTTTTTAAAATCATAGGAGTATTTTGTATGTTAAATAAAACCTTTAATTTTTCCCTAAAAATTAATGGAGATTTATTGTACTAAGCTATGCACCCTAGTAAAACCAACTGTACTTTGTACCCCCTTACCTGTTTGTACTTCTCCACAAAATTCGGTTTCTATAGGGCAATGTGTGGCTACTTTATAGGGTGAGAGACTGACGAACTAACAGAATTTTATATACTAAAATTAATTTTTGCAACATGCTGATGTGTTGAAATCTTCACTGTATTTTGTATTGTTGAAGTTATCACTAACATTTTTGTTGAGATTTATAAACTATGTTTCACTCAATTTCGCAAACCAATGGATGAAATTTGAATAAACTGATTTGTTAAAAACATTTTAACAAAAACCTTACTTTGCAGT